AAGTATGACTGGGAAGAATATCAGGAAAGCAGCCGACTCACCCAGCATGTCTGGCGAGAAGTCAAGGCCCCACGGATGACATCACGAAAAATAATAATGAAGTCAATCCATCTTGAGAAGTGCGTCTATCACCTGTTTCAACAGAAGCAAATGGTTACTCCAAGATGGGAAAGTAATAATGTCCACTCAGCCTTAAACCATTCTGAGAAACACACCCCAGGCTCGTCAAAGCACGCGCAGAATTTGGTCAGTGGGCCACACTTTTCTTGTAGGTAGTCCTCAGAAAGCCGATTACAGTCGGCTTAGCCAAGGAAGTCCCTTGTCTCGGGGATGGATAGTACCTGACAGCAATCACACTGTCAGTTTGGGAAACAAGGACTCAGAGGCACCCTGGGAATGTTTGGTTCCCTCTTAACATCCAGAGGAGCAGTGGGAAGGCCCTTTTGTGGGGGTGCACACCATGAGCCTGATTTCTTTCCCAACCTGCCTCATGCTATCTGAGGTTAGTGGGAGTGGGGGGCGAGTTGCCCCAATCATGGCTGCTGGTAGCATAAAGCAATAACACCTTTCTTAGTGGTAATTTATCACAGCCATCCACAAGCACGGCAGCAGCCCACACTACTGACAGGGAAACACTTTCCCAGGCTCAGTAACCCTTACAGTGCTGTCACCTGCAATGAAGCGTCCCCCTCCCACCCCCCACGCCACAGGAAACACCTCCTGAAGAGTGACCCAACTGTTGGAATCTGGGGCCACCAGGATTCTGCCATCCAGGGAGGATGCTGGTCTTTGGAAGCTGAAATCTAGGTCCAGGTCCTCGTTGGTAAGGGCTTTGCATGAGCTCCCATGTGGCCACTCACCGGGCACTGGCCCTTACAGAGAAGGGAGCATGGAAGCCACCTGTAAGGCACGTGCTTTGCCCGTCCCTTTCTTCCCAGGAGGAGAATGAATGAATAAGTGTCCTTTGTGCAGATGGCTTTACGTGAGGAAAGAAGACAGAGCTGTGAATGACAACTAGGCACTTATATGTATCTTAGTCCATCGAAAGGGGATTCTGGATGGTGCAAACAGTTGACACGTCTGCTGATAACCAGAGGCACCTCGGCAGAGAGGCCTGGAGAGCTCCTCTGAAAAGCATCAGCCATTGAAAACCCTGTGGAGCGTAGTTCTGCTTCAGCACACAGGTGGCCAGGACTCAGAAGCACCTTGACGGTTAGCCAACATCTTGAAACTGAAATCAAATGACTCAAAAACTGGGCTAGCTTTCAAAGACAAGTTGGATCAAACAATAGTCAGGTTTCTTTTTGATTGAAATCTGTTGAACTTGATTGAGTGCGCTCTCTGTTCCGGGAAGGCTAAGATAGTGGAATGGCCTCTTGTTCACAAGAGCCTCAGCGTAGGAAGTCAGACTGTGAAAATGGCCAGTTCCCACTTGGGGAGCCTCCCCAGCACGCAGGGCGTGCACCCAGCTTTTCTGCGGTGTCTCCATTTGCCCACAGGGACGACATTAGCACCCTTCTGTGACTGGTGGAGGTACTGGAACACAGGCAAGCGGAGCCATTCACCAAAAGAAAGACAAGAGATAAGGGATTGAGGCCAGACTGGGTCCAGGCCTCTTCCACAGCTGTAGAGACCACTTTCTTTGATGAAAAATATTGACTGTCTAGTTTCATCCAAACGTTTGGTCTTCAAACGTCTGCTGGTGCCTGTCCACCTTTTGGGGTCATCTTGACTCATCCTGGCTGAAGCGCTTAGTGCAAAGCCTCTCTGTTTTAGACAGACTCTTCTGGCACACAAATGTGTGGGCCTCCTTAAGCTGTCAGAGGAGCGATCTGTACTGATTCCTTTTAATGAATTGAACAGAAACGTCTATAATGTTTAATGAACAGAACAGAAAGCGTCTATGCTGTGTAAGAAACATCTATAATAGGCAAGTGCACCGAGATCAGAGTTAGTAGTGAGCCCCAGGGGCGGGTGGGAGAGAAAGGAAGGAGCACACACCTCGAGAGGCATGAGAAAGCCCAGGAAGGGGGCTGGTATGTGGAGCGCAAAGCACATAATCAGCTTTACTGAGCTGCACATAAGCAGCCCACGTGGTGCAGGGGTTGCGCTGCTGGTTTAACCTAACGGTCAGCAGTTGGAACCAACCGGCCACTCCATGGGAGGAAGATGGGGTGTTCTGCTTCCATAAGACTGACAGCCTTGGAGACCCTAGGAAGCAGTTCCACTCTGTCCACTAGGGGCAACGTGAGTCAGAATAGACTCCACAGCAGTGGGTGTGGCTTGGGCTTTGCTTCTATGAAGCCTTGGAGATCCTCTGGGGAAGTTCCACTGTGTCCTCTAGGGGGCGCTGTGAATGGAATCGACTCCATGGCAGTGGGTGTGGTTTGGGCTTTGTTTCCATAAAGACTGACAGCCTTGGAAACCCTGTGGGCAGTTCCACTCTGTTCTCAAGATGCGCTGTGGGTCGGAATCAACTCCACAGTAGTGGATGTGGTTTGGGCTTTGTTTCTGTTGACTGACAGCCTTCGAAACCCCGTGGGCAGTTCCACTCTAGGGGCACTGTGAGTCGGAATTGACTCCACTGCAGTGGGTGTGGTTTGGGCTTTGCTTTCATGAAGATTGAAAGCCTTGGAGACCTTGTGGTGCAGTTCCACTCTGTCCTCTAGGGATGCTGTGAGTTGGGATGGACTGAACAGCAGTGGGACTTTTTGGTCTAGAACGGTCCATGAACGATTACTGAAATGGCAAATGTTTTGCTACCTCTGTATATACCACAATAAGAAAAAATTTTTAAGAAGAGTCTGTATGCTATAGAAAATCATTTAAAATCCATAAATGTATGGGGGCCATATTGTTTTTATTTTTGAGATCCAAATACCTTAAAATGCCATGTCTCCCAGTATAGTTTATTTTTTTAATTTTTATTTCTGAGAAGAGTTTGTCAATATATGGGACTATTTTAAAAATTCATGTCAGGCTGGGTCAGAAAGCCAAGGGATGAGTAATGACCCTGGGAGCAAACCTGTTAAGGCATTTGACACCTGGGTCAACGTGCAGAGATGCCTCAGCTTTACAACCCATTTTTATGCTGCCGTGCAAGAGGGTGTGGTCCCCAAACTCAGGTCTTGATCAGTGGTTCTCAGACTCCATTCTGAGCTTTGCTGACATCTCTGCCTGTTCCAGTACTTTATCTACAGCTGCATCCTGGGGCTGGTCTCCTGCTCAGTGTTCCTGCGAGTGAACTACGAGCTGAAAATGCTGATCATGATGGCCGCCTTGGTGGGCTACAACATCCTCCTGCTCCACACGCATGCCCACGTGCTGGACGGCTACAGCCAGGTCTTGTTCCAAAAGTAAGCAACTACCCCTTGTCCTCTTTCCTTCCTTTCTGGGAGGATGAGAACAGGAGTGTGTGTGCAGTGAGTGCAACTCAGCAATGTCCTTCTTACTGATACTCCTGCAGGAGATTTCAGAGGTGGTGGTATGAAGATGGTGTGTGTGATAACGGATTACCTGAGACCGGTGTTCTCAGATACATTCAGAAGATCTGAATGGTTGAGAGAGGATTCGTGTGACAAACTGTTTAATAGGAATAAGGATAACCTAGGTTTCCTCAATGGCAGCACTATTGACACTTGGGGCTGGGCCACTCTCTGTGGTGGGGAGTGGTTAGCAGCATCCCTGGCCTCTACCCACTTGATGCCTAGTCTCCCAGTCAAGGCAACAAAGGTGTCCCCAGGCATTCCCTAATGTCCCCTGGAGGCAGAAGAGTCCCCAGCTGAGAACTATTGATTCACAAAACACTGGAAAAGAAATGGTCACATTGACAATTGTGGGACTGAATTTCTAGTTAAGGATTTCCTGAAATCCTTTGGAGGGAGGGGTAACTCAACCCTGGTCACTCTGGTCTGTGGAGAAATTGACTTCCAAGAAAGACCTGACTGTGTCCACTTCCGTGATGTGGACTCGATGCTGTAAACATGGTCCTGTCATGTTCACTCACTGGGTTCGTGAAAGGCCACCTTGAATATTTTATTCCATGCTTAAAAAGAATTATTTTCCTCACTATAATGTTCTTGTCTTACATCTCACCAGCATGCTCTGCACCAAGTGTTAGGTTTATGTCAAGACCCACTGGCTTCAAGTTATTTTCTATGCATGCTTTGCAGTCCTTCGTGATATCCCCATATTGCTTCTCACTTAAAATGAAGGTCTCAAAGGTTTGCTTAGCTTTGTCACTCATGAAAGGGGGCTTGTGTTGAGGGCACATGGCCCCCTGCTCCTCCATTGTCACCCAGCATCCATAATGGCAGTCTCCTCAATATGTAGGTTTTCTTAGCAACACTACACAATCAGCTGCTAATAAAGGTTGGCAGTTCACCTCTACCCAGAGGAAAAGCACACATCTCAACTAGCCCCATGGTCCCAGGAAGATGAGAGACACATGGAGAAGAGCCACCCAGCCAACCCGCATCTCCCTGGTGCGCCACTCAGCTCCCACAGTCATTGTGCAGCATCACTGCAGTGCTGGGTGACTGATGGAGCCCCTGAGTGGCGCAAACAGTTAAAGTGCTGGCTGCAAGCCAAAATGTTGGGGGTTCAAGTCTACTCATAAGGTCCTTAGAAGAAAGGACGCATGATCTTGTCCCTAAAAATTAGCCCTTGACAAGCCTATGGAGCACAGCTGTCTTCTGACATACATGGGTCAAGTCACCATGAATCCAAGTCAGCTTGGCAGCAACAGGATTGAGCTTCTGAAGCACGTTTCAGAAGCAGCCCTGCAGCTCATCCTCATCACCTGTGTTGGTTTACATCATCCTCCCGCCAGGGATCCCTAATAATCTGTAATCACACTGAGGCCTGCGGAGGAGCAGAGATGGATGACCATGTTAAGGAAATTTCTCTGTGGAATCAAGACACCTTACCAAACCCCTGAGTGAGCGTGGACCTCCTGACTTCCTCGCCCACTGGCAATGGTGCTTCATTCCCTTGATTAGAGTCACAGCTCTTGAATATGCTACACATTTGAAGCAAAAGAACAAATCAGACTGCGAAGGTTTTGATGGAGGAATTACTTCTGGGCAGCCGAGTGGGCACATTAACAAATACGCAGACTCCAAGAGCGATTGAGTAGTTGTCTTGAAGCCTTTTCTGTCCTGTGACTCAAGAGCTGTAGAGGTAGCTTCTCCTTAGCAAATAATTACTCAAGTTTGCTCCTGCATTTCCTGCTGTACTGAGTCAACGCAACTCTTTCAGATTTGAAAGTGAGATCCTTAAAGATCTGCTGGTCATGCTGGGGGTATGAGAGTGACCCTTACTAAAGTCTTGAGGCAGAGGCACCCTGCAGGGGTGAGCAGATTCACAGGGTACCATGCAGCACCCATTCTGACCAACTTCACCCGAATCTGAAGTGACACGCTGATTTCCGGTTGGTGATCTGTGCCCCTACTCGCTCCCGGGATCCGTCCCTGCTTGTCTGTCCCTTCTGGTACCTGCACTGGGTTTTGGCAGGTAGTGTCCTCAGTGCTGCCCTGCAGACTCTGGCCCAGCCACTCATCCCAGAGCGCCCACCTGGAGCTCCAGCACTCTCTGACATGAGCCAAGGATTGGCAGCCCTCTGTCCTATCCCTGGGAGGTGAGCCACCTATTCTGGAGGGACCACCAGGACCTCTGCCACGAGCCAGCCCTGCTCCTGTGGTTACAAACTCGGGACTCAGCACTCACTCTCCCTAATAAGCCAGAGAACAGGTCCAGGTAAAGCACCACACTGCATCCCAGTGTCTAAGGCAGTCCTGGGTCATAGCAGGTGCTCCATGAGCAGCTGCTAAGTAGACAAAAAAGGCAGGTGGGCCTGGGACAACCTGGTAGCCTGGACTACACTGAGGGACCCTGGACCCCCGCTGCCTGCACACACAGGCGTTCATCCAGCTCATGAGGGCACACCCAGCCAGGCGTAGCCTGGGCCTTCATTCACACTGTGATGGAAAAATTCAGAAAGGGATACTGGAGGATTGCACAACATGGTGAATGCCATGAGTGTCATAGAATTGAGTGTGTGAAAGTGGTTGGCAGGGCAAATGTTTTGTTGTGTGTGTGCACATGGTTATACACACGCAACAAACATGTATATCAATAGAGAGAGAGCACACACCAGTTAAGCCTGCAACTGCTAACCAAAATGTTAACAGTTCAAACCCATTCCTGGCCCTGCAGGTGAAAGACCTGGCTATCTGCTCCCCTAAAGATTACAGCCTAGAAAATCCTATGGGGCAGTTCTCCTCTGTCACATGGGTCACTATAAGTCACAATCAAATCAGTGCAACCTATCAAAAGTAATAAATATATCCAAACCAAACCAAACTCACTGCCAGCAAGTGGATTGTGACTCATAGTGACCCCCATCGGGTTCCCAAGGCTGGAAATCTTTACTAAGGCAGATTGTCTCATCTTTCTTCTGCAGAACAACTGTTGGGTTTGAACCACTGACCTTTCGGTTAGCAGCCAAATGTCTTAACCAGTACACTACCAGAGCTCCTTAATGAATAAATAGGTGCTAGAAATAAAGCTGGAGATGGCATGATAGTATTTTGCAAGACCAACAACTTATTCATTGCAAATACCTTTTTTCAACAACACAAACGGTCGCTATAGACATGGACTTTGCCAGATGGAGTACACAGAAATCAGATTGACTGCATCTGTGGCAAGAAGTGATGGAGAAGCTCAATATCTTCAGAGAAAACAAGGCCAGGGGCTGACTGTGAAACAGACCATCAATTGTTCATATGCAAGTTCAAGATGAAGCTGAAGACAATTAAAACAAGTCCACAAGAGTCAAAATAGGACCTTGATTATATCCTACTTGAATTTAGAGACCATCTAAAGAATATATTTGATGCGTTGAACACCAATTACTGAAAAATAGACTAATTTTGGAATGACATCAAGAACATGATCCATGAAAACAAC